AGGGTGGGGACCGTTCCTGGTAACTGAGCATTCAAAAGGGCTTGCATTGTGCCATTGCACCATTATGGTTGCCTCCATGTAACATTGTAAGAGCATATGATTGGTTTGGCTGATGAATCCACACTTTGCTCAGCTCTCCAGTGCTCTTGGCAACTAGCAGCAATGTATAGTATTGAAAAGCCAGGGAGGCAACATTGCCCTGTGCACACTAGCCTGCTGGTTGCTCCTGATTTAATTCTTGGAAAATATGGCAATGGAAGGAAAGAAGTGGAAGGGACTTCCAGGACAATTGCTTGAGTATTTGCATTTCATCTCCATGGTTGCAGCTCAATGGAAATTAGACACTGTGTGTGCTTGTCTGCCATTACAACTTTTTTTCATTGTGGAACCACTTGGACTACTTTGTGGAGCCCCAGGGTTCCATAGAACACAGTTTGAGAGATGCTGGATTAACAGGAGGATACATAAACATCATGAAAGCAAATCAGCATGAATTCTTATTGCTTCTCTGCAAACAAATCAGAATGAATGCTCAAGAAAGACAGTGTTTAATCTCCACATAAGCTTTGTGCAAGCAAATGAGGCTGGAGGCTCAATAAACAGGTCATTTGGAGGATTCCTTCGTCTTTCTTCCTCAGTAAAGGTAATGAAGAAAGAACCGTCCTCTATTCCGCCTGTCTGATATTGTAATAAGATGTCTCGTCATTGCCATCTCAAATTCAATGTATATATGATGGAGCTGCTTATCTTCCCTTCCAAGCCTTCCTCTCTTTGATTCCTCTCTACTTCGTTGACAGCATCACCATCCAGCCTGTCAAAACATGCGTGAAGTCAATTTGATTTCCCCATTGGTGAGGTTTCCACCTGCCTGAACATTTGGTGAGGGGAAGAGGGAGGTCTGCAGTGGTGGAAGGCTAGCTGAGCCTGCAGAGGTGAACATAAGATGGGGAAGTTGTATTGCAGCCTAGCGGTAGAAGCCAACATTAATTTTACTCAGAGTAGACCCATTGAAATGGATGGGCATGCTAATTTAGATACAGTAATTTCAGGATATCTACTCTGAGTAGAACTTCATTAGATAGAACCCACAACTATTTCCGGACCAATGAGATGAATGCTGAATGGTGGTGAACTTTTTCAAACTTTGTTGTTTCAAGCATTTTTGACAGGCAACATAATATGGTATGGGCTTTGTGAAATAGGAGGTGAAAAATTGGATTTATTTCTAACATGGGAAGACCCCATGGGAATGCTGACTGGTTGAATTACAGACATATGATCAATATGGAGCTGCCTTCTAGTAAATCCGGCCATTGATACCTCTCGTCCGTATAGTCAGCTCAAATTGGCAGTAGCTCTTCAAAGGACCACTGCCTGAAACCCTTTGAGCTGGACATGCCAGAGAGGCAGAATCTGGAACTGCATGTAAAAGGGTGTGTTGTGCTTCTGAGCTGTGGCCTCAACTCCCATAATCTATTACTACCTTCTCTGACCTGATGCCTCCAGATGTTTGGGACTACAGCTCCCACCATCCTAGGTCATTGGTCATTCTGGCTGGGGCTGATGGGAGTTGGAGTCCTCCAATGTCTGGAAAGCACCACATTGTGGAAAGCTTGATCTAACGGATTCAGTGATGCAAGCTAAATGAATGAGTGAAAGCAAAGGGGAGACAGAGTGAGTGGGAAAGAAGGAACTGGGGAAATGTTTCCTGATTTCCTGAATCAGTAAGCAGATAATATTTCTGTAAACTAACTGACAACCCCCCTCTCCTCTCCTTCAACAGTCTGCTGCAAAGGGCTGTATCTGAACATGTGAATACTATGTCTGTATTCCTTTCTTTCTGGAGGGGAGCAGGAGAAAGGGGGCTACCTCACCTGATTATTTCAACCTTGAGAATTCATTTCAATTACAGTTTACAACCTGCAAACAAAAAGAGTGTGCGTCTCCGTAGTAACGGGTGACTGCTGTGCTTTGAGTAGCTCTGCGTCGGTTCCCCAATTGTCACTCCTCTTTGTTGTCTGGCTCATTGTGCCCCGGGACACAATTAGGACATCTTCAAACTGTTATGCCCTCATCAGTGCCGTGTGCTGGTGAATTTATCTCCTCTCCTAGCTACAGGAGATGAGTGTCCCCATCGTCTCATGTACCCGTACATTTCTCCTCTGCCTCTCCCCCTCCATCTATACCTTTTCCTTCCAGCACTACTAACCTCATTCTTTCCCAAGCAACCAAGAGAAAAGTTGTTTCAGCCTTACCAATCTCTCTGATCTGTCCCCTTGCAAGCGCTCACCTAGAACACTTCTTCCAACCCATTTAGCCTTTTTCCTTAATATATGTGTCTCTCACAGTGTAAAACCATTCCTGCCATCTAGCTAATGCTCTCATTTGCTGTTTGTGTGTACACATACAAGCTCTAAGGATGAGGGAGAAATTTGGTTCAGTTTGCATTTCAAGGCTAACCTAGCAAATCTGCACTTGTCTGAATTTTGGAATGCAGCTCTCCAGCCAAGTAATGTGTTGTTCTTGTTTAGTCGTTTAGTCGTGTCCGACTCTTCGTGACCCCATGGACCAGAGCACGCCAGGCACTCCTGTCTTCCATTGCCTTCCGCAGTTTGGTCAAACCCATGCTGGTAGCTCTGAGAACACTGTCCCACCATCTCGTCCTCTGTCATCCCCTTCTCCTTGTGCCCTCCATCTTTCCCAACATCAGGGTCTTTTCCAGGGAGTCTTCTCTTCTCATGAGGTGGCCAAAATATTGGAGCCTCAGCTTCACGATCTGTCCTTCCAGTGAGCACTCAGGGCTGATTTCCTTAAGAATGGATACGTTTGATCTTCTTGCAGTCCATGGGACTCTCAAGAGTCTCCTCCAGCACCATAATTCAAAAGCATCAATTCTTCAGTGATCAGCGTTCTTTATGGTCCAGCTCTCACTTCCATACATAACTACTGGGAAAACCATAGCTTTAACTATACAGACCTTTGTTGGCAAGGTGATGTCTCTGCTTTTTAAAATGCTGTCTAGGTTGTACAAAAATGCATATATTAGGGCTAAGTGTGCATAAAATTATTATACATATTAACCTACACAAGTGCATTATGTTAGGGAAAACTGCTTTCAAACACAGGGATCTGGGACAAAATTGCATAGAAACGTGCATATTAGGAAAATTTGAAACATAAATACTGACAAGTTTTCATGAGACTTAAAAAGAAAGGATTAGCAAACTGATGTGGAGATGTCTAGCCCCCCCCATCTGATAAACCCTCCCCCCACATACATCTGTCTGTCATCCAGGTGGTGCCACAAAGGAGACCAACACAACCAACATTATCTTATTTTTTGTAATGTATTTTACCTCCAGGTTTTTGTTTCAGGTGCTCATGAGTGATTTTGGGTGGGTGTGCTGGTTCAGGATAAGGCAGCACCTGCCTGCAGGCTCACAATCTTTTAAGACATAAAAGAGGGATGGGGGGGGGGTAGAGAACACAAAATATTGGAGCAGATGCTCCTTCACTGGCTGATCCACTTTCCATTACTTTGTCCAAGGCAGCTTACCCATGAGGCTAAAACAAATACAAGGATATATCCAAACAAGGATGAACACATGCAAGTCAGGGGAACAAGCAGTGTTACAATAAACAAAATCCAAGACAGCAGCCAAAACCCACCAAAACCTTAGTAAACAGGATTATTTTGCTTGCCATCTCAAGGCCATCAAAGTGCTAGGCAAATACATTTAAGGAGGCCTCCAAAAATCAGCAAATGGTTCTATTTTTGGTAGAAAATGCGAGTGGAATCTAGCACAGGGTTGCAGTGCACCTGCTTGGAGTTCTAGCTAGCCATCACCTCCATTTAATTCCTCCTTCCACTGCCACACAGGTACTCTGGGGGCATGCACGGTCCTCACTGGGCTATTTCTCTTCTTCAGAGCTTTCCTCCAAAAAGAATACTTCTGCAAACCTTAGGGCACTAAGCCTACCTATACCATTCTCATGTGTGTGGATGGTGCCATTTTAGAATACACACTGTTGCACACCACCCCAGTCTCAGAGTTTCCAGGGGTTCCAGGCACTCTTACCCAGGGTTTGTGGTGTCTTTATGATATAAGGTTTACTTATACATATATACAACCTGAGCCTACAATGGAGGGGTTCACATCACTGACACCCCAATAGGGTTTTGCTTCTCCCATAGCTGCAGCCCTAGATTCAAACAGACATTAGCCATCATGCTCTGACCTTCTCTCCAGTTTGCCGCCTTTACTAGACTGCAATATTTTCCCTCCGAGGTCACATCCAATCAAGACTCTACTTTAAACTCTCCTTTTTTCTTCTAACTCTGAGCAGAGGGAGTTCCCCTCTCTTTGGTTTCCCTAATGGCTCATCACCTTCCCTTTGTCCTGATGGCTCACTGCCCCAAGCGATTTCCTGCCTGGTCAGGAAACTGGCTTGGCTTGTATTTTGATATTTACTGGACCCAGGAATTTGGAGAGTCTGGTACCCATAACTTCATACAGCAGCCTTCCCCAACCTGGTGTCCTCTGTAAGTTTTGGACTATGACTCTGGCCCTTTTTGACCACTGGCCATGCAGGCTGGGGCTGATGGGAAGCATAGTAATTAGAAAGCTTTGTTGTCTGTGACAGGATTGCAAGGCTTCCCCCAACATTTCACCAGTCACACACATAACACTGGATCAATACTCTCCTCCATAGTATTGGGAGATGATAATACGGGGATCAGTGGAGGGCTCATTGACCCAAATGGCTATGTGATGCTTTGGGATGTTGTGCTATAACATTCTGCATTCACTGGATGATTTTTGAAATGAGTTCCATAAATTCCTATGTGCAAAAATATTTAATCATAATGTGTTCTTGTAGAAGCATGGCAAGCTGCCTTACCATGAGTCAGACTCACTGGCCCATCTGGCCCTGGATTGTCTACATTGATTGGCAGCAGCTCTCCAGGGTATCCCACAGGGGTCTCTCCCAGTGCTACCTGGAGATGCCAAGGAATCAAAAATCTGGGATCTTCTGCATTCAAGGCAGATGCTCTACCACTTAGCTACAACCCTTCTTCCAAGGCCTTTCAGCTCGTTCCAGGGTAGTCCTTTAAAGTGCTTGAAACAGTTTGTGCAATCATACTTTAACAAGCCACAGGGGTGGGAGATTCCAAAGTAAAGTGCATCCAAGGGAAGGCATTGAGTGGATGCAAGATATTTTGTTGGACCTGGCCCTGAGACATTGCTCGTTTGCTGTCTGCAGCCATTTATTACTCCCTGAAGTGACTCACGGCAGGGAAGGTTATGGTTCAGAAGTCCCTTGGTGGTCCGGAGGGCCATCAATTGAGCTCTCCAGAGAGTGGTATAGCAAGTGAGTTTGATTAACTCCTGCTGAAAGCCGCAGCCAGAGCTGGGATGTGATCGGAATTGATGCTAATCCTTTCTCATCCGGCGCTTGAAAAGATAGCTGCATTCATTCTCAGAGGGGTGCCCGGCAAGACTCGTTGCCTACTTGAAAATTAATTATCAGATGGGTAGAACGATGCACGACCCTGCTATTATAATCAGCAGGGTCACATTCCCTATGCTGTCCTAATCTACTGTGAGTTTCAAAGAGATTCATTGTCTTCCTGTCTGGAACATGCCACTGCACGACTGTTTTCTGATCTGTGGTTTGCTGGTTCCAACCTAATCTTGTCCTTTAAAAGATTTTTAAAGTAGGTATCGGCATCTTGTGAAAAGGAGTTGGGGCTGACGGCTTCAGCGCATCAGAAAACAGCTGCTTTCGGAGTAAATGCACCAAAAGCTTTTCATATAGGCCCTTCAAAGGAGAGGACCCACTGCTCAGCATCAGGCATGTAGTAAGGTAGATCAGTATTCTTGGGCAAATTTTGAGCTTGGGTGTTGTGTCCAGACTACAAAAACAGCAGCAGAAGGGGTCAGGCTCATACAATTGACCTTATTTTCTGGGAGGAGGGATTTTGGAGGGAATGCAGCATGGAAAGGACCACAGTTCAAAAAATATTTATATTTTCCCCTGGGGGCTTCAAAAAAGATCAGGGTCTTCTTAAGCTGAATCTCCAGCACTTCCTTCACTGAAGGGTTTTCAGTATTATTAGAATTGTTATGCCCTATATTAGATCTCTGTCCAGCTCAGAGAAGAATGTCCACAGAACACAAATCAGAATATTATAGTTGGCATCTTGATAGCTAGCTAGCCATGTGTTAGTCTTTATAGCAGAGGTGCAAGAAATCTAAGACACAATAAATGCATTTAGTCTCCTGCAGCACCATTTAGGTTGCAGGGGTGATTGCTGTGCTAGTTCATTCATCATGTTAGATTTTAAAACGAGGTGGAAAGCTGGCTGTCTCCAAGGCAGCCTTCACTAACCTGGGACTGATGGGAGTTGTAGCCCAAAACATCTGGAGGGCTACAGGTTAGGGAAGGCTGCTTGGAAGTATGCAGAGCAGTGGCATAGCATGGGGGCCGGGGGGGGCAAGGCCCCGGAAGCAAAATTTCTGAGGGGGTGCAACCAGGTGCCCCCACACCTGTCAGCTACCATGGGGATCCCTACCTCACCCTGGCGAAGGTGGCGGAGCAGTTTCAGGCCCACAGTGAGCAGGCACGGAGAGAGGGAGGCCTACCCCGGCGCTCTTCTCCACAGGCGTTGGCCACCAAGGGCTGCATTGTCTGTCTGGGCTCCCCCCTGCATGGACAGGTGGCACAGTGCAGCCTGGTGGTTCTGATGAGGGGCACTTGAGTGGTTTCAGTGACTTGCCTGACCCAGGCACCAGCAACCCACGCTATGCCACTGATGCAGAGCTCATGTACTTTACATTGGGCCTTGAAGCCAATAGGCAACTGACACAGAAGAGGTGTAACATAGTCCATAAAATGCCGGCTGACACATCCTGCCCCAGTTGCTAAATTACACGTTTTCCGAGCAACATGATGAGGAAAGGATGAAAAGTAATGTACAAAATCTGATATTGGGGCTGCCTTTCAGGAACTAGGTTCCAAACTGTGTCATATATTTGATGTTGTTGGCCTACTTTCAATAAACTAGCTTGCTAGGAGCCCAGCTGCCAAGTGCTCATCCACTGGAATAATTACACCTTCACCTTTTCTCAATTATCACAGAATCAGCTCTGATTCAAGACTTTCAAGCATTAAAAAGTGAGCTAAGAAACTTGATCCTTCTCTCCCATTCCTGAAATTCTGTTCCAGTCCTGCCTTGAGGCTTAGCTATGGTCTTGATCTTATTGTGAGTGTGAGACTTCAGCTTTTAATTCTGAAAGAATTTCTTAATGGAAGTGTATAAACTTAGATGAGTACTAATAGCTATGTTTTCAGTCATAGTAGCTTCTACTAGAAATGGACCTTTCCTGATTGTCCCCAAAACTTTCAGGATAATGCTCCTAGTTAATCCAAGTGGTATTTATTGTGCTGTGAAGGATGTTCAATGTATTTTGACCCCACATGAGAGTTTGAGAAAGACAGAATTATTGAGGCTTTTGCTTTCCTAACTTTCTCAGTCTTTTAGTTGGTCTCACTTCTAGTGAGATCTCAACAGAGACTCTGAGACAAGAATGTGCCTTTTCCTGTAATGAAAATAGAACTGTTTTTGGAAGTTGAAAATAAAGGAATCAAATCAATAATTTAATCTAACTTTATGGACTTGGTGTGCTTGGTGCTGTCATGCACAGCTTCAGTGAACATATTTAAGATGGTGCCTATGGCCCATTTTGAAGGTCACATGAAGTTCATGGATAGAGTACAACTCCCATTGCTTAGAGTCCCAAGAGCACATCTGCACCAGTGTCTGAAATGGCAACATGCACATTTTGGGTGCTATTGAATAATAGCCACTTTTATGGAAGATCAGATAGGACCCACATAGCAGAATGCTGGGAGGAAACTCCCAGAGGTTTTTAGCTCAAGACTAAAGTCTATTACAACCTTCTTTTAAAAATATGTAATTATCTTGACAAGACAGAGTGGCTTGTCTGTTCATTGAGAGACGAATGCGGGAAGGGCTCTGAGCTGAGGGAGAAGATTAATAGTCCTTGTCACTAATGGGAAAGAAAGGATAACTTGACGGGTTTCACATGAGTAATCTCAGTGTAGTCCAAGAGCATTTTTATAACTTTGAAGGATGGGCTATAAATTTACCTCCTTGATATAATCTTTTTTTGTTGGTCAGTTCTCTATCAATTTGTTGTAGCGTCTCTTCAGCCTGATACATCAGCTGCTGAGCATGGTGCTCCCATCCTGAAGGGAAGGTTACAATGACAGAGAATGGGAATGCTGCTGGGTATCATTCCTGCATCTCTGCGTTTCTTCGTCTTCTCTCACTGTGCACAGAAGAGGGATAAGGGAGAGGGAGATGCATGCACAGTGTCCTTCTGGATATCATCATCATGGTTGAAATTTATTACCTGCCCTTCACCACCAGGTTAAATTCAGTATGAAAAAGAATTAAAACAACAACTTTGGGGTGTCCTGGTTTTTACTTTTTGAAATATGCCAACCCTACCAGAACCAAGTGCTACATCTTCAGCATTCTCTGAAAACCATATAGTGCAGATGCCAGACATACCTCTGTGGGTTGGGAATTCCATGATTATGGGGCTGCCATGGAGCCACCCCTGGGCCACACACCCCAGCTTCTGAGAGTGGACACCAGAGAGAGTCTGTAGGGAGGGAGCTGGATCTTTCAGATATTTGAGGCCTAAATCACTTAGGCCTTTAAATATTAATATGAGCACATTGAATTGGGTCCAGAAACAAACTGGTTTTAGAACACGGGCTACATGAGTTCTAATGGGAACCCCAGCTGATAAACTGGCTGCTGCATTTTAGATCAGTTGAAGTTTCTGAGAGATATTCTGTCTTCAAAAGTGACATTGCAGTAGACCACATTAGGTGTCCTCCAATGTTAACATTTGGGGACTTATTCCCTGTTGTAGAAAATATTTTCCCCTCCTTGGAGGGGTGTCCAGATTTTTTTTTAGCGGTTCATGTGGAAAAGAGTGTGCAGTCAACATGCTTTCTTCGCTGAAATGGAAAAAGAAGGTATATCCCTCACACACTGGGAAAGAAATTGCTACATTTCTAGGAGCTATCTTTCAAATTAAAAACGGCAACTTCTCATATTACATGCCACATTCAACATAGTCACAAGGTTTTAAAAGCTGACAAATATATATTCTCAGGGCGCAATCAAAGCTCCCCCTCCCTCCTTGCATCAGCCCTGTCAGTCACAGTGACCATGGCTAAAGGTTGAGGGCCAAGATGATCGGGGCTGATATTATCACACAATGGTAGTGAGACTGGCATGATTTCCAGCAGATCTTGGGCCAGCTCTGGCTCTTCCCTTGGGGCTTCCTGCTGCTTTCCACCAGTTGTGAACCTTGTGGAGCCACCTTGGAGGGTGTGTGGGGATCCCAAAGAAATGGGAGGGGGCAGAGGTCAGGGAGTTGGAGCTAGACAACCCAAGGCAGGGCCTTAGTGACTCAAGAAATATTGAAGCTGGCAGAGGGGACCAGTGTTCAGAAAGCTCAGGGCTTTATCCGGAGGAAGGCTCAAGTGGGTTGACAGAGGGGTGTTCCACCCTTAAGATACCAGACATCTCCAAAAAGGCTGTTACCACAGCTGCTAGTCCCTCATCTTGGGGAGGCATATGAGATTCAGCCAGATGCTGCTGAGGAGGCAGCTCTGTCACCCAGGACACAAAGACGCAAGCACTGGCACAAATAAACCTCACAGGTCCTGCACACCCACTGAAGTGCCTGTTTGCTTGCTCATAGCAGAAACACCTCCCAGGCCTCTCTTCAAAAGGAAGAGGCAGGAGGCATGTCACGTGTTGGATCAATGCCTCAGCTCATGCGTAGCCATGCAGTTTACCTGCTGTGCCTTTAGCCCTTGTTTAGCCTATCTATCATTCAGATCAGATTTATGCATTAAAGACTTCGGCAGGAACAGAAATTTGAGTTTGAGTGAGGGCCAGGACACCATCAGTGGGCTTCCCACTTGCTCACCCCTTCAGCAATTGGTAAGAGACTAGCTGAGG